AAACATTTGATACACAGTGTCGGTTGAGCATAACACTGTGCGCAATATGTAACAACTTTATGAAAATTTCAATATTTTTCGCACAATTGTTATAAATTGCTTCAATATCATTAAAAAAAAATGTATAAGAAAAATTTAAACGTTTAAAGGTTATAATTGACGTAAGATATTTGACTTTTCACTCAGTCCATAAGCGTCCACGAAAAAATTTCTGGGGGCAGACAACCCGAAAAGCGCCATCCTTAACGTGTTAAATATAATAATAACTTGTTTCAATTTCTAAACCTTGAAAGCCTTTCAGGACTCGCTTCGCTCGCCCATCATGAAAAATCTATACTTGCAAGTTAAACTCGACTCCACCTTACTGAAAATCTGTAAATTATTATTGATGGTCGAGCGTAGCGTTGAAGATTCGCTTCAAGTACATGGCTTCAATGTAATTGAAAAATACTTCTTAATAATTTAAGCTTCCGTTTCGAAGATATAAAACGGTACTTAGTGTATAATGTGTTTCTAATTTTGTTCACCGGCTGTGCTTTAAGACCATCATTACTATTATATAACAATTTGGGAAGCGTCTAAATTTCCGTAAAGATACGTTTGGGGCAGAGCCGGTAAATACAGCAGAGTCGGATTACAAATTCCACGGAGAGAGAGGTGTTCGCTTTTGCTGCAAGGAAATCGGCTTTTCCAGCAGTAATTTCGCACCTTAACGGGGCATCTTAAGCGTCGACTTAATTTCCTTCTTTTCGTTTTATTTTCCTTGCCAAAATCCCAGCAATTATTCAAAAAAAAAAAGAAAACATGATGATACATATTTATAGCCGTTCCGTCTCGAATTAAAATCTAAAATTTAATAATAAACCGAAAAGCTCTCGGCAGAGGCCTTCTCAATTATGCGACGAACCACCCTTTCGCGGAACGGAACTTTTTCTTCTTCGCTTCTTCTTCATCTATCATTCGAAAGTTGCCGAAATGTAATTAGAATTTTACATGTTTCAATTTGCATTTGGAGGCGAAAGTTTTTGCACGTCTTTGCCTCTTTCGTCATCGGTATTTTTTTTTTGTAGGGGGAGAAGAATTTATTTTCTCTGTAAATATCAAATGATTCTTTTTTGATGTCTCTCTACATATTTTTCCATCGGGTTTCTTTTTAACCCTCGAAGAGTTGTGTGTGTGTGAATGTGCGTGTGAGGGAGGGAGGGTTTGCGGTGTCTGAATTGAACCTGTCTCGTGCGGATTTCCGCTCCATTATCCTTCGATCTTCGCCGCGATTTATCTTCTAAACCCCTAAATTCGCCTTTGGAAATATGAAAAGGGAAGATAAAAACGAATTGCTTTCGCCGCCCCTCGTGTTTTTCACCACTCTTTCCATTCGAAAATATAATTACAGATGCGATTTAACTTCATGTACACATAGAGATTTCAAATCAAGTTTTTTTTTACACATGAAAACTTTACAAATCATTTTACGAAATTAGTTTGAAGTCAATTTATTAGATTTTAAAAAATCAATAGGTTAAATTTGATGTATCGAATAGTTATTGGTATATCAGTTGTCTTGAAAATGTGGTTTTGAAAATTTCTATCGTCTGTCAGGACTTTTTTCAGGAAATTTGTAAATATAGTTCTGAAAACTTTTATCACCTTTCAGGATTCGCTTCGATCGCCCACCAAAATTTACTGTTAATTCAAAAACATTCTTTTACAAATTAGTAATCAAAATAATGTTGATGGGCGAGTGAAGCGAGTTCTAATAATTTCAATCGCCTTTCAGGACTCGCTTCGCTCGCCCATCATAAATAATTTGACTATTTCGTAAATATACATAAAAGTAATTATATTTGAAGTTACATTTTAAATATGAATTTTGATTGAAGGAAATTAGTAAATTTATAATAAATTACATGAAAGAAGTTAAAAAACTTCGAAATCAATGATTTAATAAGAGTTTACTAATTTGAAATATTATAAAAATCTATACTTGCAAGTTAAGTTCTAATTATTTCAATCGCTTTTTAGGACTCGCTTCGCTCGCCCATCATAAATACTTTGATTATTTTGTAAATATACATAAACGTAATTATATTTCCAGTTACATTTTAAATATGAATTTTGATTGAAGAAAATTAACAAATTTATAATAAATTACATAATAGAAGTTAAAAGGCTTCGAAATCAATGATTTAATAAGAGTTTACTAATTTGAAATATTATAAAAATCTATACTTGCAAGTTAAGTTCTAATAATTTCAATCGCTTTGAAAGACTTCTATAATCTACAATAATCGCTGAAAACTGTTGAAATTTTAATCGTTTTCAGGACTCGCTTCGCTCGACCATCACAAATACTTTTACTATTTTGTAAATATACATAAACGTAATTACTTTTCCAGTTACATTTTAAATATGAATTTTGATTGAAGAAAATTAATAAATGTATAATAAATTACATAAAAGAAGTTAAAACACTTCTAAATCGATGCTTTAATAAGAGTTTACCAATTTGAAATACGGTCAACGTATATTTGTTTCCGTGTTTATCCTGGAGTTGTGTTGTTTGGAAACAATTTAAGTTTTGCATTTCGAGTGCTTCGAGTTTTGTTATGGACGAAAAGAGAGGTGTTGTGTTCGAGGGGAGAGATACTCGAGTGGAATATATATGTATTTGTATGTCTGTGTCGGGGATTTTAAACTTAAATTGTTTTTGTTTTCGCCAAACGAAATGCGAAAGAAGTGGTAGACTCGAAGCGGCTGGAATTGACAGATGCGGAACAATCGAACTTTAATTACGTTTTAAAGCCTTGTTCTAAGATCGAAATAAACTAATTATTTCGTAAAAAGACGCAGAAAAGGTTACTGTAAGAAAAAAAATAAGTAATTGGAGAGTTTTATAATATTGGAATTTATTGTTTTATTTATATAAATAATTTAATTAGGTGCTGGCTTTTAGTGGTGGTAGTAGTGGGCTGGGGCGGCGGCGTAAGCTACTTTAGATACTGGAGCGGCGTAGGACAATGGGGCGGAGTAAGCTACTTTAGCTACTGGGGCGGCGTAAGACAATGGGGCGGAGTAAGCTACTTTAGCTACTGGGGCGGCATAAGCAACTGGAGCAGCTACTTTAGCTACCAAAGGTTCACGGTGGACTACAGCGTTGAATCCGTGGATTGGGTCAGCGGTATATTCTACAGTCCTCTTGAAGCCGTCAGCATCAACGAGAGAGTAGCTACCTTGGACGGCATCTCCGTTGCGGGTTTCTTGCTGTTGCTTGTTGTCTCCGGTCAAAGCATCTTGGACATCGTATCCGTAAGAGTATTGTGGGTTTGGGTCGTATTCCTCAGCAACCTTACCTACCACTGGGGCGGAGTAAGCCAATTTAGCAACTGGGGCAGCAGAGTAAGCCAATGGGGCGGCGGCGTATTGGGTGCCGATGAGACCAGCATTGGCAGCAGCCAAAAGGGTGGCGAAAGCTACGAACTGCACCAATCAATAAATTAATACATGCAGCTCAAAAAAAAAGGACCTACCTTGAAAGCCATTGTTGGTTTTGTTTAAGTTTGAGAGTCGTTTCAATTCTGATTCCAAATTACCGCTCTCACAGTTTATATACTCGACCCAAAACCGCGCCCCAAAAGATATACTTGGCAAGGTCAGGGTTTTTCGTTCATTACATAACGAATTCCGGTCGTGAATAAGTTTTTTTTTTGGAATTTTCGAATAACTCCTCCACTTTCACATGATCGTATATCGTGTCCATTTAATGATGCAATTAATCCCAATAATGTCAAAGCAATTATCGCTGCATACGATTTCATAAAATAAAGTGCGTATTTGTTGAGAAGAAAGGAATTATATAAGATTTAAGAGAATGACGTGAATTTTCGGAAGTACTTATGAATTATTCAATAGGTGTATACATTAATTTATAATTTTAACTTTATAGTACTTTCTGCATTATATAAATATGATTTAATTTTATTTGACAGGTAAATTACAAAAGTTGCAAATCCTTAATCGCTTCGAAACGTGGAATCAGTTGCAACTGTCTCACTGCAAATGTCCTAATCCCATCGTATAGATTATGGACAACTCGCAGCCACAATTATAAACCGTAAACACATCCAGATCAATTTTCAAACTTCTATCGTTTTTCAGGACTTTCTTCAGGAAATTTGTAAATTTCTAAGAAATTATACCAAGGATGTTAAGATATTTAAAAATCAATAGGTTATATTTAAAAAAATGTTTAAAGCCTTGTAGTTTTGAAAACTATTATCGCCTTTCAGGACTCGCTTCGCTCGCCCATCAAAATTTACTTCAAACACATTCATTCTTTTACAAATTAGTTTTCAAAATAATGTTTTTGGGCGAGTGAAGCGAGTTCCAATAATTTCAATCGTCTTTCAGAACTCGCTTCGCTCGCCCATCATAAATACTTTGATTATTTTGTAAATATACATAAACGTAATTATATTTCCAGTCACATTTAAAATATGAATTTTGATTTAAGGAAATTAATAAATTTATAATAAATTACATAAAAGAAGTTAAAAGAGTTTGAAATCAATGATTTAATAAGAGTTTACCAATTTGAAATGCGGCCAACGTATATTTGTTTCCGTGTTCATGCTGGACTTTATTAGAATTAAATGGAATTTATTAGATTTAAAAAAATCAATAGGTTAAATTTGATGTATCGAATAGTTATTGGTATATCAGTTGTCTCGAAAATGTCGTTCTGAAAACTTCTATCGTTTTTCAGGACTTTCTTCAGGAAATTTGTAAATTTCTAAGAAATTATATCAAGGATGTTAAGATATTTAAAAATCAATAGGTTATATTTAAAAAAAAATGTTTAAAGCCTTGTAGTTTTGAAAACTATTATCGGCTTTCAGGACTCGCTTCGCTCGCCCATCAAAATTTACTTCAAACACATACATTCTTTTACAAATTAGTTATCAAAATAATGTTGAAGGGCGAGTGAAGCGAGTTCCAATAATTTCAATCATCTTTCAGTCGTCATCGTGGAATCAGTTGCAACTGTCTCACTGCAAATGTCCTAATCCCATCGTTCAGGACTCGCTTCGCTCGCCCATCAAAATTTACTGTTAATTCAAAACACATTCTTTTACAAATTAGTTATCAAAAATAATGTTGAAGGAGTGCGAGTCAATCTGTCTCAGCGTCATGTATCATTGAATGTCCCTCAATCCAACCATCGTATAGATTATGGACAACTCGCAGCCACAATTATAAACCGTAAACACATCCAGATCAATTTTCAAACTTCTATCGTTTTTCAGGACTTTCTTCAGGAAATTTGTAAATTTCTAAGAAATTATACCAAGGATGTTAAGATATTTAAAAATCAATAGGTTATATTTAAAAAAAAATGTTTAAAGCCTTGTAGTTTTGAAAACTATTATCGCCTTTCAGGACTCGCTTCGCTCGCCCATCAAAATTTACTGTAATTCAAACACATTCTTTTACAAATTAGTTATCAAAATAATGTTGAAGGGCGAGTGAAGCGAGTTCCAATAATTTCAATCGTCTTTCAGTCGTCATCGTGGAATCAGTTGCAACTGTCTCACTGCAAATGTCCTAATCCCATCGTATAGATTATGGACAACTCGCAGCCACAATTATAAACCGTAAACACATCCAGATCAATTTTCAAACTTCTATCGTTTTTCAGGACTTTCTTCAGGAAATTTGTAAATTTCTAAGAAATTATACAAGGATGTTAAGATATTTAAAAATCAATAGGTTATATTTAAAAAAAAGTTTAAGATATTTAAAAATCAATAGGTTATATTTAAAAAAAAATGTTTAAAGCCTTGTAGTTTTGAAAACTATTATCGCCTTTCAGGACTCGCTTCGCTCGCCCATCAAAATTTACTGTTAATTCAAACACATTCTTTTACAAATTAGTTATCAAAATAATGTTGAAACTGTCTCACTGCAAATGTCCTAATCCCATCGTATAGATTATGGACAACTCGCAGCCACAATTATAAACCGTAAA